TATATATTCAACACCTCTCCAGTATGAGGTCTGATCATCCCAAACCAAAGGGCACAATGTTGGAGTTGGAGGTATCCAAAAAGAAAAATGTTAAACATACCTTAACGTTTCCTCCTATTAGGTCAGGTGGCTCCTCGTCCGCCTCTAGGGCCACATTGATGGTGGCAAAAGGCCGGCTGGCCATCTGCTGCATCTCCCTCAACAGTTGCTACGGGTAAGAAAGGAGCAAAACATAAACAGTCAATGTCAAATAAATAATGACAACACATTTCAGCTCCAACCAACCACATATCATGATACTTTTTATTTACAATTCCTGAGCTGGGTATGTCAAAACATTGTAAAACTTCGAACTTATCTGGCTAAATAAGCATCAAGTCCAAGAACAGCGGATTAAACATCCTCTAAGGACTTTACTATGTCTGACATTTTTGTTAAGGAGCCCAGTGCTTAAGGGGATAAACACATTTTGATAGGGCTGCAACGATTAGTCAACATAATCGACGACTTTGATTATAAAAATAAGTCGACGCAAAAATATAACATTGACGCATCATATTGATTACCCAGGTAAATGTTCATTTGTAACTGTAATGAACTGCCGGGGGTAGAATCGCTTCTATTGTCTGTGATTGGTTTGTTTACAAAAGAAGGTGGCGTGCCACTCTGCAAACCRCAGAAGAAGCTGTGGGCAAAGCAAAGAGCGATAATAATGGTGGAACAGAAAGGCAATTGCATCAGAGGGAAAAAAACAAGACTTAAACTTTCCAAAGTTGGCTACATTTTACCAAAGATCAACCAAGGAAAGTAAAATGTAAACTCAGTAACATGCAACAGCCGTCCTCTGCAGATGGTAAGTTTCATAAAGTTAGTTTGTTTGTCAGGTTGAAGCATGATAGATCTTTTTTTCAGTGATTGATCACTTTGTGCTGAAGACAACTGTCTAGTTAGTTTACCATCAGAAAATGGTGTTTGATGGAAGCGAAGCTCTCCGTTATGTTAACGTTAGCTAATAAGTTAAGTTCTTCTAATTAATCATTGAATTATACTAATATTCCATCCTGTCTCGTCTTAACCCGTTTTTTGATGGGGTTGAAGACATAACTTTTTAACTGTGACGTCCAACAAGTTTTCAATCAGGATGGATTATTTTTTAAAGCCAAAGATTTATTTTCTTGTATTTAGAGCTTGCAGCAGGGCAGGTTAACAGCCCCTCATGCTGGGGAGAGGCTGATATTTTGAGTTGTTTGTTTAAAAGACAGTTTAACAAATTTTATATGGTTTCATTTTTATTATGTTTATATTAATGTTAAAACACGTATGAGTAAGCTATTAAGTTTCAGGTTAAAATTCATAGGTTTCATGGGTTATTTTAATTAGCTGGGAACTTGTAATGTTAAGGTAGAGAGACTGTATAACAGGGTGACACAGTTATGATAAGCAGGTGAGATGAGACGCGTACTGGAGCTGGAACAGGAAAAGCCCACAGAAAGCTTAGACGGACAATTTTACAAAAATAATCATTGACTAATTGGACAATAATTGCAGATTAGTCTACTAAGAAAATAGTCATTAGTTGCAGTCCTACACTTTTTATGTAAAATTTGGATTTATGTGCACTTATGTATATGGCCAATTCCAGACCCAACTTTTTTATAACAGCATAATTTAATGTAAATATAAAGCAAGCTTTACAATGATGTAGCGATAACTTGGAGTGAAAKGTTAACGCTCCAAACTCTGACCATCACATGACTCTGCCCATGTTTACAAGAGAACAGTGACCTATTCATTTACCTCMAAAACCTTTGTTTATTATCTACGACTGGTAAGATAACGACAGGATGCGACAGAGACCTTCTGTTGTTTGAGTACAGTGAGAACTCTTTGATGTACTCAAAATGGCCGCTTATTACAAAAGAACTCAAGGTTTAGCAKACACGAAGTCTGGCAGAATGGGTTCTGCTAGTGAGAGAAAGGCCTTTGAAGCTGGATTTCCTGCTGAGTTTTATTACATACATTTGCATCAAAGACACGTTTACATACCATCTCATTTACGGTGTTACAGCGTCCCCAAAAGACTGGTTTTATAATTACACCATGAACTTATGCTTATTTCTGTATTTGTTTTTCTGATATAAAAAAAAAGAGAATCATTGTATTTTCTACGTGACTCAATCATGTGAACAATGTACTTTAATCACTTCACAAACTATCTTATTTCTCTGTGTGTGTGTAATCAATTCTAAGGATGACAGTCTGTGAAAAGAAAGAAAGGTCACGTGATCATTACCAACCAATCATGAGTGTCAGAACCAGGACAATAGGAGTTTTAGTTTGGCAGCAAGTCAGTCAGAAGTCGGTC